AACATGGAAGATATAGCGGCTTGCCTGGTCTCTGATAACACCGTCAGATGCAGACAGGCAAACACACCCATCCTCTCTGTCTCTCTCTCTCTCTCTTTCTCTATTATAATGCAGTACTTTAAATTTCAAGCATGCTTCGCTGCATATAAAGTTAGCAGTAGAGAGGGAGAGAGATGTAATATCAGAGCTGCATGCTGGCTCTCTGCTTCGATATTCCGACTTTACCCTGCTAATACTCCGTGACACAGGTTCTGCTCTGTTGTAATCCTATTATTGTGCCAACAAATGTTGGATTATACAAGCGACGGAAATCTGTCAAACATTACGCCTTTTACTGCACTTGTTGCCGCGATCGATGCACACCTCGTATGATGAATCCGCTTATGTATATGTTGTGTTGGGGAGGAGTGCTAGGGAGGGATGTTGGAGAGGAGATAGAGAGAAAGACGAGAGAGAGAGAGAGAGAGAAAGAGAGAGGTGTAGTGGTGTTCATTGTGTTGTACTAGACCTTGCTGGTCCAGCCTCCTCTTCTCTCCCCAGTGAGGCTCAGTAACTACACTACCTGCGCCTCTTCTCTGCCTATAATGCTAAAGAACTTCCCCACTTCCACCTCTCCTCTCTCCCCGTGATGCCCAGGAACTACCCACCTGCACTTCTCCTCTCTCCCCGTGATGCCCAGGAACTACCCACCTGCACTTCTCCTCTCTCCCCGTGATGCCCAGGAACTACCCACCTGCACTTCTCCTCTCTCCCCGTGATGCCCAGGAACTACCCACCTGCACTTCTCCTCTCTCCCCGTGATGCTCAGAAACTTCACCACCTGCCACGGTTTAATGCCACCCATCTATGCTGATTTATCAGGTTGAAATACGTATAGAATATACTTCGTTTCCCCTGGATACAAGATAAACGAGAACAATAAATTTCCCACAGACTGAACATGGCACTTTGCTCTCTATGCCAGTGAAATACACCCCGGCCTCTCCTGATCAATAGGCCTCTCGCTTCGTAGGCACAGCCTTAACATTATATTTATTTGACTGGTTTAATAGGTCGAAAAGGCGATAGACTACACGAGGGGTCATTACGGCTGCACATCACTAGTCAATTATTATTTTAATAGGCGGTCATTTAAAGCACTTTTTGCCCACAGATTAGTAAACTTAGGAAGTTAGGTTAGGTTAGGTTAGATTATGTTAGGTTAGGGTAAAGAATCTTTTAACTCTCACTCGTCTAGTTAAGGCAACGTATCGCTACCAATATCTTCAGCATTTCTAAATTAGTAATAAATAAATGTCCTAAACTATACTTAAGTGTCCTTATCCAAAGCTTGTTGTGACAGCCATACCACTGACAATCATAAAACAAAACGCGGCAGCGTTTTATTTATTAGAAAGGACTCGGGTTTAACTCTTGCCTGGTGGAGCTGTAACAGCAAGTATCCTTAAGCCCGTCGCCTCTTTTCACTCAGCAGTCAGTAGGTACCTGAGTGTTGGCTGAGAGCCGTGATTGGCATTTTTAGTGATAATGTATCTTGGGAAATGCTGGGATTCAAGTGAGCTAAGGTTTAGGTTAATAGCTCTTACTCTGTAAATGAGCTGAGTAGAGGTTAATACCCATTTGTGAATGAGCTGAGGTTTAGGTTAATAGCTCTTACTCTGTAAATGAGATGAGGTACACTAAGAGCTCCTTCTCTTTAACTGAGATTAGGTACATTAATAGCTCTTACTCTCTAAATGAGCTGAGGTATAATAATAGCTCTTACTTTCTAAATGAGCTGAGGTACATTAATGGCTCTTACTCTGTAAAAGAGCCGAGATGAAATAACAACTCTTTCCATTTTATATACACTATCCACATTCCATCCCTTTATTGCCGGGGTTTAAAGAGCAAACGCAGACTCGAAATTACAATTACAATTCAGATCTTTTGTTTCACTTTTGTTCGGCTGATTACTAAACAATTTACGAAAAGAATTAAACTTTAAATGTCTCTCTATGTCAGTCAGTGCCACACCTTTGAATCAGCGACGGATCACAAGTGACAGTGATGAAATACTATAATTGTGGCTTTGATGCTTCCGCAATCACTCTGTCTCTCTGCTGACATTCTGTGTCGTTGGAAGGTCACAGAAATGTGTGTGTGTGTGTGTGTGTGTGTGTGTGTGTGTGTGTGTGTGTGTGTGTGTGTGTGTGTGTGTGTGTGTGTTGTGTGTGTGTGTGTGTGTGTGTGTGTGTGTGTGTGTGTGTGTGTGTGTGTTGTGTGTGTGTGTGTGTGTGTGTTTGTGTTATTTTGTGTGTCTGTCTGTCTCTCTGTGTCTGTGTCTGTGTGTGTACGCACGCTTAGAGTGCGTGCGTGTGTGGTACAAGTGTTTTTTTTTTGTGTGTTAAGCATGTCCTCGAGTGCTTAAATATGCACCGCTTATTTCCTTGAAATTCATTTCTAATCTTCATTTACGTTCACTGAGAAGGCACTTCGCTCCCCCTTCACCACACAGGTAATTGCTACAGGTGATAATTCCCAAAGGTGCCTCGGTCACTCTTTCACTCACGTCTTCCCAAAACGGAAAATGAGCTTCATAAATTGCCGGCAGAGCCTATGTAACCTTAATGCGAAATGTGTGGGAAAAACACCTGGTGCGTGTGTGTGTGTGTGTGTGTGTGTGTGTGTGTGTGTGTGTGTGTGTGTGTGTGTGTGTGTGTGTGTGTGTGTGTGTGTGTGTTTTGTGTGTGTGTGTGTGTGTGTGTGTGTGTGTGTGTGTGTGGGGTGAAAGTGGCTATTAATCACACGGGTGTGTTTGATGGACCTCTCGGAGCTGTGCTGATTAAAACTCCGCATTCAGAGTTCAGTGACCTGCAACTCTTTGCCCGAACATTCAGCTCACTACCCAAAGGAAACCGGCTCGATTTCCCGGCCGGA